CAACACTAATTTTAGTGACCTCCGATCGGTTGCGACCTCCTTTTGAAATTGCCATTTTGCAGACATTGAGAGTAGCTTTAGGACAGTCTTCACTCGCGACAGTAATATACTTCGACACTTCTGAAATGCTTGCTTTGCACCGCCGCAGAGGTTTGTATTGCGCGACCATCATCAAACGTAACTAGTGGGTGCTTTATGGCAGTTCCCGTAAAGATCGGCGAAACTAGGCAGGCAATGTAGCCGAGTTCCGATCATGGGAAAATGGGAAAAGATCGGGCCGATCCGATCTCGAGATCGGGACATACCTAGTCCAAACCTTGCCAGATGATGGATAATCAATCAGTCTGTCATAACCTTTGACTTGTGATGTCAGAGCTGTGGTTAATGCTGGGAGATGAAGTTCAGATCTGTTTATATGTAGTTAGATCAATGCAAGGATGATTAAAAAGGGTGTGTCCTTGCTTTAACCTACAATAGAATGTCTTTCTGCTGTGTTTGTCTTTCTAGACCTTCAGGATTATGTTGTAAAAGAGGAGGATTTCTCTGACCAGCAGCTCTATGATCAGGGGAGGAACTCCAGTTTGGACCACGAGGAACCAGAACCTCTTCAGATAAAAGAAGAGCAGCAAAAGCTAGAAAATCACTGGACAAAAGAGGAAACCACCGAGCTCCCCATAAGTGAGCATGAAGAGCAACTTGTTCTGAAACACGAAACTGAAGATACAGGAGAGAAACCTTCCCCATGCTTAACATTGGAAGAAAACTTTATAAAAAAAGAACATTTAATGGATCACATCAGAATTCACACAAGCGAGAAGCCTTTTGAATGTTTGTCCTGTGGAAAAAGCTTCACCTCTAAATCTGATCTTGATAAACACAACCGAATTCACACAGGTGAGAAGCCTTTCACCTGTACCATTTGTAAGAAGAATTTTTCTGAAAAGGGTAATTTGACTTCTCACATGAGAATTCACACAGGTGAGAAACCTTTCTCCTGTGCCTTTTGTAACAAGAAGTTTACTAAAAGGAGTAATTTGACTTCTCACATGAGAATTCATACAGGTGATAAGCCTTTCTCCTGTACCATTTGTAACAAGAATTTTACTGAAAAGGGTAATTTGACTGCTCACATCAGAATTCACACAGGTGAGAAACCTTTCTCATGTATCATTTGTAACAAGAATTTTACTGAAAAGGGTAAATTGACATCTCACATGAGAATTCACACAGGTGAGAAACCTTACTCCTGTACCATTTGTGAAAAGAATTTTTCTGAAAAGTGTAATTTGACTTATCACATGAGAATTCACTCATTTGATAATCCTTTTTCCTGTACCATTTGTAAAAAGAATTTTACTGAAAAGGATAGTTTGACTTCCCACATGAGAATTCACACATTTGGGAATCCTTTTTCCTGTACCATTTGTAAAAAGAATTTTACTGAAAAGAGTAGTTTGACTCGTCACATGAGAATGCACGCCGATGAGAAGCCTTTTGAATGTCTCTCTTGTAGAAAAAGCTTCACCTCTAAGTCTGATCTTGATAAACACATCAGAATTCACACTGGTGAGAAACCTTTTTCCTGCATGATTTGTAGCAAAAGTTTTACTCATAAAGGTAATTTGACTAGACACATGAGAATTCACACAGGTGAGAAGCCTTTTTCCTGTACAACAAAACAAGAATTTTACTACAAGGAGTCATTTGACACATGAGAAGTCACACTGGTGACTTCTCATGTGTCAAATGACTCCTTGACACATGACACTTGGGAATTCAGACTGGTGAGAAACCTTTTGAATGTATGTCCTGTGGAAAAAGCTTCACTCAGGAATCTCAACTTCATAGACTTATGAGAATTCACACATGTGAGAAGCTGTTCTCCTGAATTAATTGGGACAACGGTTTTAAACGAGAAAGCAATTTGAGTATACAAATGACATTTATTCATGCATGACCTGTAATGATTTATATATTTCTTTAAAAAAAACATTTGTTTCACATAAGTTGAGAAACTCACTGGTTAATGGTCTTTTTTGAGAAAGCCATTAATTAACAGCTCTGTTTATAGAAACCAGAACAGATAAGGTGTTATATTGTAAACCTTGTAAATATTTAGATCCTGGATATGTGAATGTGAACATCTGAAAGGTAATAATTTGGGGCCTGAGTAGCTTAGATTTAAATGGCCAAAAAAAAAAAAAAAATTTGTGGCTTCCC